TGCTACCTACTCTGTGCTCCCTTCATGATCGCCTGCCTTGTGCTTTCTGTGCTGCTTGTCTTGTATTGAGAGCTACTTAGGGCACCTGTACATGCACAGTGAGGCTGCTCAGCATGTTGAGCAGACTTGATTAATTGAGCCTGCTTGAGCCTGGTAGTTACCAGGCTCCAGCAGACTTCTGAGTGCATCAGCTTCCCCACACTGAAAAATGGCAGCAGGAGTGCTGTTTGAGCTTTAATTAAAGCACCACTGCCATTTTTCAGCACAAGGACACTGATCCACAAGACACTCCGGTGCTTTAATTAGACTGGCTCTTGGACCTACTGTATTTAAAGCGGCCTCCCCCCACTCCCTCAACATGTATATAAATGCCCTTACGTTCCTATGATAGTTTCTCCTGTAAGGCAGTAGAATCAAAGTCTCATTATGGTTGTTTTTATGTAATTTACTTGGGTAGTGTCATTAGGAAAGTATTGTGACTTTGAGACAACTAATTCATTTTTTAATTTATATTTGCACTTTGGTTTCATAGTCTCACATCATGGCAGCAAAGGCTGTGGCAAATACTCTGAGAACATCACTTGGACCCAATGGTATGTATGAGAAGAGGATTGAAGTAGTTCTCTTTCAGAGGGTTTTTTGCATATTCAGAATGCAGCAAGTTGCAAATATTTTTTTTCAGGCCTTGATAAAATGATGGTGGACAAGGATGGTGAGGTGACTGTGACAAATGACGGTGCCACTATTCTGAGCATGATGGATGTGGAGCATCAAATAGCCAAACTTATGGTAGAATTGTCTAAATCGCAGGATGATGAGATTGGGGATGGAACAACAGGAGTTGTTGGTAAGAAAATACTTCGGATCTGTTTAAAATGTAGTGAATGCAGCCAAACTTAACTTTTTCTTTAAGAGGCTGGGGCTGCATAAATAACATGCTTGGAATTTTGAGTTGTCCAGTATGTTGGACCTTGTTGCAGCACCTGTATCAGGAAGGGCTCGTTTTTTAAGAGTAGTCTAAACTTTGAGCCAGTGTTACATCTCCTTTCTATGTTTTACTTTTTCTTGTGTTTTACAGGGTTTTTTTTTTTTTTAATTCAAGCTCAT